GTGCTAGTCTTCCACGCAAAAATCTGAAATGTGCTAGTCTTCCACGCGATTAGTGAAATGTGCTAGTCTTCCACGCGAGAATCTGAAATGTGCTACTTTTCGACGCGAATAATGAAATGTGCTAGTCTTCGACGCGAATAGTGAAACGTGCTAGTCTTCCACGGTAATTTGAGATGTGCTACTCTTCGTTGGGAGCGACGATATGAAGTGTACACATAAGTACTAATTGCACATACAATTTCAAATCAGTATATGGTGTGCTTCAAAAGTTATGACATAATTAATTTTTCACCTCTTAAAAATTACATAAAATATTCACTTGTTTCCATTATTATTTTTTATTTAAACACCTATAATTCAAAAGTTATGCAGCAAACTGATCCAAATTTTTTTTAAGGCTTCAAGTATACGTCAATGAATTATATCCAAAAGCAACCAGCTTGATATAGTTTCCAACAGTGAAAATAAAGCTAAACAACACCAAGGTTACCTGTTTTTTAGATTTGCTCATATACTCAACCTGCTTTCGTTCGTATCAAAATATACTAAATTTAAAGATTTTTTTAACCACGCTCTACCAACGAACGCTTACGAGCGCTTAAAATACGATCTTCTCATATTAGCCCTTTTGCGATTACATTTTACCGCGATAAATACTTGAGCAAACGATCGTTAGCGAAAGGATTGTCTACGTTTTCGTTGGCGATAGATTGCGCGCAATGATTCTCTCCACCAGCGCTCTTGCGACAGACGATCGCTTTCGTACGCTCCTTCTTTGCAATGTATATAAATAAGCTCTTTGCATACGATCTCTTACCAATGAAAACGCTCGTTTGCTCAAGTATTTATCGCCGTAAAATACAACCGCAAGACGAGCTAATAAGAGAAGATCGCATTATTAAGCATACGCGAGCGAATTTTCCCACTCCCTGATTTTAAGTATTAAAAAATATAACTTTTAAGTACTTAGTTTTGTTAAACATGTTAGGATCTTTCTGAGCTCGCGGTCTCTTGGGCCGGGGCCCTCTCGGATCGGGGGCCCCTATAGTAACGCCTCTGTATTTTTAGTATTATGAAATGGCTGAAAATTGAAATTAATCTCGTCGGTAAAGATAATTTCTATGTCTGCGTGCCTCCTTAGTAGCGCTTTGAATCTCGCCTTTCTTTTTTTAACAACTATTTAATGGTGAATCTGTTACTTTCAAACCTTGCACGGTACAAAATGAGTTTGATGTTACGCTCAACCCTATAAAAGGACGCGGTTTTGCCTACGTATCCTTGTCTAGTTTGATAATATTATCATTTTAAGCAACCCTCTGATTTTCAGGGCAACAATCTCCCCTGACAAAGCTTCAAAGGGCAGAAAATGTACATTTTTTGCCTTACAAGAGTGTGACATTTTAAGAAACGAACACAAGGTTTTCTCACCTGTGTTTTAGAATCGAACACGAAAAAAGCAATGGGCAATCAAAAGGCGAAATTTTTTGGTAGAAACGAAAACACCATAAGACAACGAATTGTTTTTTTTTTTTTTTCTTATACTATGTCTTTGACTATAGCTTTCCCTCAAATATTAAGTTCACGGACTGTTGATTCAAATCAACACAAAAGCAATTTTTCTGAATTGTTTACCGCACATTTTTATGCTGACTACACACGAGTAAACCGTTTCCTCGTGTGTAGCATTGTTGCTCATAGAAATTCGTGTTGCCGCAACCATCGCTCTTTTTGTTGTGACATAGCTTTTGTTATTTTCACAGTGCTGGCTATCCGCTATCGTGCTGGCTATAGGTCCGCTGAATAAATATTTTGTAGTAATTTTCATGGACTCTTGTTTTTATAAATGAAGTTCCAAGACAGGTTCTCTTTTCACATCCGTGCTACTAACTCACTTACCATTAATTTTAATGTAAATTAAATAAATAATACCTTAAATCAATCAATTAGTGTCCGATGTAGTAAAAATTAAATAATGTGAATATGCCTTTCTGAAGAAATATTCAAGAATGTTTAGGTACGACAGTTATTATTTTATGCGTTGTATACTAATTTAAGAAAAACTACCCAGGCATGAAACGCTGTACCACTCTCAATTATATACACATCTACTGCGTCTATAGAAACACGCGTCATTTTGTATTTAATATCTTCAGCTGAAGGACACTTATATTTGTTCTCCTCTTTGGTGTGTGGACATTGATTGCTCGGCACACCATGATGGCAGTTACGCACAGTTTTGGGAGACTTGAGACAGTTTTCCGGATCCACTGCTAATAGTACCAAAGTCTCTAGGCCGACGACAACGTTGCAAAGCTGAGGCAATGTAAGTTTGCCTGATAATTTTCCAAGCTGCACTTCCACTAGCCAAGAGTACTCTAATGTGTCTTCGTCAAGTGGGCAGCCTTCATTACTAAACATGGCATGACCACGTACCTAGGATATTTTAAAAGAAATTTACCAAATTTATGTAAATCAATTAAGCAAAAACCGATTGTAGTTAAATGGATTTACCTGTAGTGCTGAGAGGAGCAAATGCCCTTGGTTAATATGTTTATCTCTATTAAGTCGCACCACATGATCCGATGTGATCAAATACGACGGACTCACCAACACTTGAAGAGTTGTTTCATGATAGCGTTTATTCATCTCAAAACCAAAACGTTCGATCAGCACAACAGGACATGGCGGATCATTCTCATTGCAGTTCTTCATGACATGTGCCTGTATATCGTGTATGATCAGCGACACTATCACCTCTAAAGGTCGGTACAAACGAGGATCGAATGACTTTTGCTTCTCTTCAGAAAAAGTCACTTCTGATATGGACTTAGTCGCTAAATCTTTTTCTTTCGACAGTAACTGATCTTTTGGATTTGACGTTGTGCTGTTAGAATTGCTATCCCTCAATTTCACATTTGACTGCTCCATGTCAGTGAAATTTTGGTCTTCGCCAAAGATATTTTCTTTTAAATTAATGAAATTTCGCAATACATTGCCGTAACACATGAGTACCGAGGAGCCTATTTCCAACTCGACAGTAACTTGATCTGCCCCCAAACTGGCTGGATCGAACTTATCCTGATCCTGTTTTTGCCAAGAGGACACTGGCGATTTGCGTATTTTAGGTATGCGCATGGGACTGAGCAAAATTTCTTCTTTTTCAGGCGTGGTAATATCTGCTTGTGGATCTGGACCCAGCGGTGGTACTGGATGGTAAATATACTGTATAGAGAGAGCTACTATTGGTACCGTCCAACAATCTATCCAACCAGAGCTTCTCTGGCATATTTTGCGCCATTTTTTTGTATACAATTCTGGACGGCTTTTAACTCTGCCCCCGCGCGTCAGCAGTCGAGCATTTTCATCAATTGCCAGAACAATAGGACGCGTTGAAGACACCTCCGGAATATACAAACTCAAATCCAAACCTTCGCCGTGTATCCAAAATTTCAACGTGACCGTTTTGGGAAGAAAATCATCGAATGGCAGTGCAAAACTCATGTCGAATACGTCGCCGCAGAAGGCCAAGTGATTGTTTTCTTGATTCGCACTGGAACAATCTATCCAATTGTATTCATTGCATAGCGTTAAAATCTCAAACTCATTTAAGAGTATATTGAATTTGCACGTGTACGGTACAAATGCAAGTATATCGGGTCGAGCTTTGCTGGCCCAATCCTCAATGAGATCCTGAAAGAAGCACTTATGCTTGTAGATGATGAAAGCAGTAGCCTTGCAGCCAGTCAAAGCAATGCTCCAATCCTGCGGTGCATTCCAGTGTGTTGGATAGTGTATGCGCACTTTGTATTCGAGCGATTCTAACTCGGCCAGACTGCGATATTGCAGCGATGTTGTGGCCTCGACGTGGAACAACTGCCCTTGAATTTTCGAAGTGTAACCATCGACATGTGTTACCCAGGGTATGGTCAGCTCTACATACGACGCTGGGCCAACAGTAATATGCATGGCATTTGTTTCTTTATCTTTCGAGAAGAGTATATCGATTGTGGCTTCGCTAAGAACGCAGAGTGTTACATCGAAAGATTGATAGCTCCGAAGCTCACCTGGCTTAGGTGTCGGCGTAACTATCAGCTCTTGCCAGTCGGGTGGATAAAAAAATTTGAAGAGATGATCCCGTTGTCGATCTGCCCATGGTCCATAGCTAAAATCTGTTCCTTTCAAACATTTTATGTTGATACCCCACACCGGTGGAGAGGGTTCAACAACATCACCATTGGCCAATATAATCAAGACTGGTTCTTCAGGCACCAATCCAGGCTCATCCATGTAAAAGTATAATTCCATTTGATTGCACATCATAACTACGAAACCCTCGCCCATGTAACGAGGTGGTTCATCAACTAAACCTGTATACTTTGGACTGGGTGCAAACATAACCTTGGCATTTTCGACATTTGCTTTGACGAAATGCATAAAGCGATCCAGCCGGCAAACAGCTGGTTTAGTACTGTAAGTACAGTGCGCCTCCTCAACCGAAATAGACAATGTTGTTGGTGTGAGTCGATTGCCAAACACAAAACGTCCTGAGCAGATATCCATTTTTATAACCGGTATTAAATCACGCCAAGTGGTCGCTTTCATCGCTTCGGAGTTTTTAACGCTTTGCCGTTTGCTTTGACGGGCATTTTCCATATTCATGTTGTGCTCTTTGAGTTTTGACTTTTCTTCGGTAGATAAATTCTCAGTCTATAGGAATAAAGAGAGAACATAAGTGTGGTTATAAAATCATGCCATTTTTAAATCAAGCACTTTTCTCCATTTTATAACACAGCATTCTTCAGAAAATATTAAACTAAATACGTAATTGAATATTTCATTGACCCTAATTTAAATATTTTGCAACAGGTAGAACCGCTGAGTCAAACATATTTCTATATTTGAAATTCATAATCATGGTGGAATCATGAAAGGTGTTGGACATTAACAGCGTTCTCGCTCTTTTCTGTCATCTTGGCTCCATTAGCTAAATCGATGTTTCCTTCTTGAAAAAAGTACATTTAAAAAGGTATTAAAAAAGTGTTAAGCAACTTCATTTCCTAAATAAAAAAGTATTTGCAACTAGGGATGGGTAAATTCGATATTCGAAGCTTCGATATTCGAGTTTTAATCGAATTTTAGCTCCAAAATGGCGAGTTTTTGAAATCGAACGTTGTAGTTCTAAAATTCGGTTAAAGTCGAAATTTTCTAGAAGAAATCGAATTTCATCTTTATTTCCAGAAAATTAACTCGGCAACTTTCTGATTTGCCTTAAAAAAATACATGTTTTCCGATCTGATGCATCGAAATAAAAAATCTATACCCAGAAGTAATAACAGCCAAACCCAATTTTAAAAAAATTTTTGTAAGAAAAAAAGTTTTTTTGTTGAGAGGACCCCCTAAAGGTTTCCTAAGAATAATTTTCTAGAACATATTCTAAATACCTTCCAAATTTGCCTTTTGCGGGGTTTCTTGAAGTAAGGGTCAAAACGACCCTTTTAAGCGGGAGCTAATGGGTTAAAATGTTCCACGATAATATATCCGATGAAATTTTATTACATATATCTTAACCTTTTATTTTCGCTCCGACATATATTTTAACCATTGTTTCGAGTTTTTTGAAAACTACTTATAGCCCAAGAGCCAGCGACGGCTAGACCTTCGTTATTTTATAAAGCCTGAAAGCTTCTCTATGTATGCCCCCAACACAGGTAATAACGAACCCTTCAAATTTGGATAGTAGTGGCTTTGGCAGTTACCAGGTGGTAAGGGTGTATAAAATAGCGCCTCGAATTCGTTATAGTATAAAGGTCAATTTTTATATATTTAATTCGTAATAATATTAGAAACTACGTCGTTCATTGCCAGACACTTAGCATGGCCAGCCATCCCTAAACCATGATAAATTGTAGTTATACTCGTCATAATATAAAAGCTGATTTTTATATATGTCACTTGCGGAACTATCAAAAGATGTTTCCTCACTTGCCAGACCGTTTCGATAGTTCCTTCATCTTGCCAGACACATTAAAAGTCGTAGGTGCGAACATGAAGAAACTGATAAAAATTATACGTTTGTTAGTTACTTATCAGCAGGGAACGGATTTTTAGAACCTAAAAACCTATAAAAAAGGCAAAATAAAGTAACGAAATAGGCTGGAAAAGGCAAAATAAAATAGCGAAAAAGGCAGGATAAGGCACTAGGTGTTGCAAAAAAGGCAAAACAAAATAGCGAAAAAGGCACTAGGTATTGCAAAAAAGCAAAATAAGGCGCTAAAAAAAGACAGAAAATACGAAGACCAATCAAAAAAAACATTTATTTTAGAAATGTTTATATTACAAGTAAAAAGAGAAAAACTATGAACTAGTTTCATTATATGAAAAATTTGTACTTTGAATCTTTGACTATTTTATCCTTTCGAGTTTTTTACTCATAAAACTTTAATCTGTATAGTTGTAGTAACACTGAACCACAAGTTTTCTGGCAGCATTTTCATTCGATTTTCGCGAAGAAAAGCCTTGAATGTACTAAATGTGTGCTCGACGTAAGTTGATAGAAGCGGGGCCCAATTTAAATATGGAACGTTTGAAACGTTCATATTATCAGGAATTTTTCCTTTGAATTTTTCCAACACCAATTTGGCAAGAGGTCTCTGCGCTTCTATACGCCGCATGGGCAATGTGTATATTTTTTAATCTTAAAAAAAAAAATTGGAAATGCTATAATCACCTTTTTAAAGGTAGAAAAGGCAAAAAAAAAGGCAAATATCTTAAAAAAGGCAAAAAAGGCAACATCAAATGTGTATACATGGAATCAGGGAAAGCTAAATCGTGAACATTTTTAATCGAATATACTCTATCTCTTTAGCAGAAAAAAAGGCAATTTCCATAAAATCCGTTACCTGCTTATCAGAGTCGGCGGTCTTTACTAGCTGAATTCCAATTTCTAACAAAATTTTCTAATGGCAATGGCTATTCGCTATGCCACAGAGACCATTTTTTTTGCAAAATTTTATAAGAAATATTTAACGTAAAATTAGACTAAAAATCTATAAAAAGATTTTATTTGAGAAAAAAATTCTTTAGAATAAAATATTTTTGTCAATAATATAAAAATCTAATAAGTTAATTAATAATGTGTTAGAGACTTATGAACTTTTTTTAAAATTTGATTTAATTAAAATTTCGATATTGTATTAAAAATTTATTGTTTACTAATAGTCCGGTCAATTTAGGCATTCGAGGTTACAATAATTCCCACCCAGCTGAGAATTGGTAGGATTGTTCAAAACACCATCATAAATGAAATCTAGAAAGTCCTCATCGAAAATGGGTTTTCGCGATTTTCAGCAAAACGGTAAGTTTATCATAAAATTAGTTTAGACAAAAATTGTAGATCAGATAATTATCTATAAAAAATGTATAAATACTT